TAGAGTTCTGAAACTAAAGTCTGTTTCAGTCATGACTTCTGGTCTGTAAGATGTACCTGAACGTTCTTAATTATTTTAATTCCTTTCTTTTTTAAAAAAGGAATTTAAGAGGCATCCAGTGTTTTCAGAAAATTTTAATGTTCTCTTTTTCACCACTCTCTAATTATGAATTATTGTGTGTAGGAAATGTGATGATTATGAAAAGATAAATTACAATATCTTCTAGTCAGGAAACAATATTTTTTACTAAATAAAAATAATTGCCTCAAAAAATAAAAGTATCATTCACTGAAACAAATCTCCCAAATAAGAGAACAGGAATACGAAGATAATAGCAGAGAGCAATGTCTCAAAAATATAAGTAGCTTGACATTGCTTTGGGATGACTTAAAACTAACAAACCAGCCTTACACAATGTACTAATTGAAAGTATTAAAGCTCAGGTACCCACATAAGGAATCAAACTCTATGTAAATTAACATACACATCAGTGTGACTAGCACAGAGCCTTAAGAAATAATATCACTTGTTGCCATAAATATAATTAGGGTAACTTTTGAGAACTTAAAAGCATAAGTCAAAATAAAATTCCTTAACCAAAGGAACAACAATTAAAAGGCTACTCAACAATTACAACTTACGCATGAATGCTCAATATAACAACAATTTTAGTTGCTCATGAAACTTTTAGGACAGCTGCGAAAGTAAGGGCCCCAACAGTCTTAAAATATTAGCACTGATCAGTCAATTGTAGATTCCTTCCTTGATTTGATCAATTCGTCCATGAGCTCTTTCTTACTACTTCCCTGCTGCTTCTCTGCAGGAGGCCTTGTTCTACCAAATCTTTCAGTGGTAGAAAAAGTGGATGATGGCAGGAACCGGCTTTTAGTTGCCTTGGAAGCAGCTCCAACCGCATAAGTAAGTTCAGCCTCGTTTGAGGCCATAGACTCTAATATGGGCTGCAATTCTACATAATACGCCCCAAGGTTTGGGCTTCCCCATTCCAGTCCCATTAAGTGCCTGTTGATATGTCCGGAATTCTGATGCAAGTGAATCCATCTTGTTGCGACATTGTTTGGGAGAAATCATGTGTCCTCTAAATACATTTGAGTAGATATTTTTTTTATAAAACTCTGAGTCTTTGTGGGCTCTTTGAAAAAGCGCCATACATCTATGAGGGCATGAATCTCTGCCTCACTCATCACTGCACCTGCAAACAAAAAGAAGTTAACATATGCAGATGTAATTTCATCAAATCAATGACAAGTGGTAAGTCTTACCATCAGTAAATCTGGCAATAGCCATAACATCATTCTCTAGAGAAGAGTAAGTGCCCTCTTTAGGAAATTCAGGAAGCACATCCGTCTCATCACGCACGAACGCCCAGTGCTTGCCCCATAATTGATGAGGCGCACGTCTGTGGTTCTCATCCAACCTTTTTTTTTCTTTGACAGTCCCTTTTTGTCACCACTATATTGTGTTTATTTTGGAGAGCAACACGGACTGAGTCCATAGCTTCATCCGATGCTATTACGGGACCCTTGTCACTCTTCAAAGCAGCACATTCTTTTATAAATGCCCAGGTTGCCTTGTTGCTATCTAGTTTCGTTATTAATGCACCAGCACATCCGGGTGGGTTTTCATTTACATCCCCTTTATCATTTACATCCAATGTCAATGTTTTATCTTTTTGGGGCTCATCTTCATTCAATTGCCGCCCAGAAAGCTCTCTGTTGTGGAATGTTATTGACAGTAAACAGGCAGTTGCTGAATTTTCAACAGTATTGAACTAAAAAACAAAAGAAAGAATTGATTGAAGTAAAGAATGAAATTGAGAAAAGTACGACAATAAATAAAGCATAGGAAGTGTACCTCCACAATAGCAGTCCCTGCTTCCCTGTCAAGTTCCACTATATCTAGGATCACGTCAGTTTGATCACCGCACACAGTTTGCACCTCGGTGTTGATCACATCTTTGAGAGATTCCTGAGACACATTATTTGTTAAGGTATAACAACAAGCCAATAAAAGAGTTTAAATTAAAATTCAGTGCAATAACAGTGACCCATACCACTTTGAAATTTCTAGATGAAATATTGCTGAAAAATACTTTGTTCGACTTGACAATTTGGGCTTTGACAAATGATTCCTCCTCAATTTGAGTAACATCAAGGGTAGCACCCCAAAAGGTGAGGTGGGGGATGTTACAAAACAAAGCTGCTAAGTCAACAGTGGCAAACTGAAAAAGAAAGAAAATAAATTAAGAATTTAGGAAACAGAAGCAACATCAAAATGCAAGGACCTAGGTATACTTTCACAGCAACAATTTCTAATGCATACCACAAGAATGCAGGACTGTTTTTCATAATCCAAGTCTTGGACTTCCGAGATAATAATATCATTGTCACTGATAGAGGGATCGTGCTCCCGCACCTTAACTTCTTCCCAGTCGAATAATGATTCCTGAAACAAGCAGCTAGACTATGCAGTCATAGAGAAACCATGGGCAAGCAAGCAGAAACACAAACACATACCTTTCTAATTTTTTTCACTGGCAGCTTATTAACTCTTACTTTATTCACCTTCACAAAAGTGGGAGGTTGGGTTTCTTCCTCATTTTGAGTAACATCAAGGGTAGCACCCCAAAAGGTGAGGTGGGGTATGTTACAAAACAAGGTCGCTAAGTCAACAGTAGCAAACTGAAAAAAACAAAAAAAATGAAAAAAAATTAAGAATTTAGGAAACAGAAGCAATACCAAAATGCAAGGACTTAGGTATACTTTCACAGCAACAATTTCTAATGCATACCACAAGAATGCAGGATTGTTTTTCATAATCCAAGTCTTGGACTTCCGAGATAATATCATTGTCACTGATAAAGGGATCGTGCTCACGCACCTCAACTTCTACCCAGTCCAATAATGATTCCTGAAACAAGCAGCCAGACTATGCAGTCATAGAGAAATCATGGGCAAGCAAACAGCAACACAAACACATACCTTTTTAAACTTCTTTCCAGGGAGTCCTTTTAGAACTACATTAGTTGTCTTCCTCATAAGAACATTTTTATCATTGTTGTTATTGTTTACATCATTCTCATGATCATTTGCAAAAGTTTTAAGATTCTGAAAACTGTGATTCAGATCGTCGACATTGATGCCTAATGATACTTCCAACACTTCTGTATTTGCAGAATTAATAATCGTGTCATCTGCATACAAATTTTCTCCAAGAGGCATGCCTAGGTTTTCAGCCTCTAAAGACTCTGAAATCTCAGGGTCCACAGTCACAGTATGATTACAATATAAACAAGCAGGCCCGCCCTTCCGCCAAACCGAGTAGCCAGCTCCACTTCGCTGCGCCGGCAACTCGGTTCGGCAGGGGCCGGGCCTGCTTGGCCTGCCGGCGGCGATGTTCGGGCCTTTGGCCCGACCATT